GATTCTTACTAAATTTATTGTTTATAATTGAGGCTGGGCTGTTGCTGGTTTTAATAAGCTAGCTTTATCATTTTAATTTTGACCAGATAGGTTGGTTAGGATGGTTAATAGTAGAGATGAAAGGTACAGAGTTTTATTCTTAACTGGTAGTGATGAGATCGGAAATCAGATCTGTGGATTCTGTCAAAATGTTCATTAAGATTTGATTAAGAAGTGAATTTTGATGTTTGAATAGTGAAGCATGGTGAAAATGCTCTGAGCTTCTTGCATTGTAACATCTGGATTTGTGAATCTTCTCCAAATCTTGCCTGCTAGGATATTTGTTACCTTTATGATCACCAGAGTTACTAGACATGCATGTTATCTGTATAGAGGTTATGGATTAAAAAAAAAAGATTAGGTTGTTTAAAATATTCCTCCTCTTCTGCATGATTTTTGAGATAGTTTTGAAATACTGTACCTTTTTTCTTTTTCCTCACCTCTCAACCTTCCCTGAATAAATTGTTGCTACTAGCTTTCAGAGAATGGCAATGGAAAATAACCCTAGAACAAAGAGAAATATTTGATAAGTGAATTTCTGTTCCCATATATTCTTAAGAAAACAATTTCAAGACATGCTGTTTTGTTCTTTGGGTGTCTCATTGTGTGAATATCTTCTAAATTGATTAATTCAAGGCTTTCATGGCTATTATTGCTATGTGATAAGAACATAGAACTGAAATTGCAGTAAGGTGCTCCTCTGCCTTGGTATTGCTGATCTTATACTAAATGAAACACCCATTAATTGGGACTTGAACTAAGTTGCAGTGTTAGATATTTAGTAATCAGTGAATGGATTAGACCAATGATGAGGTAGCAGATTCTGGAATCTCTAACACTGTTTTATGGAAGGTGAAACTGAGATCCAGAGTGGTTTAATATCTAAGGATATGTGACTAAGTAAGTTGTGAACTGGTGCTGGCTGGGACCCAGGGCTTCCAGTTCCTTGTCTAGTCCTCTCTGTTATGCTCTGCTGCTGTGAAGAAGGACTGATGTCTGAGTGGAAGTTGCATGGGCTGTTACTTTAGAAACTCAGATTCTCTTGACCTGCTTTTTATTTTTTGATTACTTTATACGTTCTTTGCTTATTTGTTGGTTTCTTTGACTCTCTCTTGTTACAGTTATGGTTCACACATGTCTGTGTAATAAGATTCTCTATTTGAAATTTGGAGGTGATTTTTATAAATTAATGAGAGAACACTAGTTGCAGGTGTTTTTAGTAATAAAGTGCTAAAAGCATGAGAAGCATTTGTTGCTATGAGAGTTGATGTCAGTTGGTTGCACAGTATAGTGAAAGTGGTTTCTGGAGTCCAGTTTTAGAATGAAATGAATCTTAACTTATTGCCAGCATTGTCTTCAAGTACAGAGATGAACACATTTGGGCTTAAAATCTGTTAAAAACAATATTTTTTGTCTATCCCACCTTGTACTCTTTTTCCTTAAACTATTTACTGTATATGTATTTAGTACAATGACTCTATACATTTGTTTCTATTTTAGAATATAAATCATAGCAAGAACCATTTTGTTTAGTACATCATAACCATGTTTATACATATGAACATATTTGAAGATAGTTGGTGTTCTTTTGAGAGACTTTTAGGCATGGGCATTGATCTAGCATAGATCTGTGAATTATTTACACTTAAATAAGTTTGGTGAGAAAGACCTTGCTATTTCAACTAAATGACTTCAACTTTTTCTGAAAAAAATTTTGCACATGCGTTTCTGTGTGTATAAGCTCATCTGGATCTGCTATATTTCAGCAAATCATTAAGAGGTGACATAGTAAAAAATCTCCTTTTCCTCGAATAAATAGGCAATTAATGTAGCTAGATAGTGGTTGGGTGGAGAATAGAAGGTAGTAGTGCTAAGTTTCAGTTTTCTGGTTTGTTACACTGTGACAAGTATAATAAAAGATGATTGGTAGACTATAACACAGTTATTTGTATAGTTATAATTTTTCTTTGGGACAAATAAGACTATCATCGCCTTCCTTTTATCTATCAGAAAGAAATGTTGGGATATAATTAGACTAAATTTATTTAATGATATAAGCAGAAATGTGTAGTAAAGATGAGTTTATGAAAGTTAAAAAAATTGACTTGTAGAAGAGTACCTTTTTCCAGGGAATAATTATTAAGTTGCAGCCCAGAACGTGTTTGTAATTTTTGCGTTTGTTTGCCCTCTGCTTTTAGCTTTTCCCTGACCTCCTGGAACAGTGTCAGTTTTTTATTACATGAGTGGAGTATGAGAGATAAGTCACTTGTAAGATGTGGTAAAAAAAAGCAAGACTGGTTCATTGTAAAGGTAGTAATTATAAAAGTAAACATGAAAAGTCAACATAAAGAAATCCCCCAAATTATGGCTTAAGTATGTAAAAATATTTGTGTTGATCTCTGCAGGCCATGTGTAAATCTGGATAGCCATTCTAATTTTCTGAGAATAGGTACATATAGCCAATTTGGTATACTCAGAAAAGTTTCACTCCCTCCTGTGTTCCTTCCATTTCATCCCCCACAACATTTCTTACAGGTAACTAAGTTCAGTGTTTTCTTCTTTTATAGTCACTATGTTTATTCTTTTGATAATAGGCAGATATATATATTAAATTTTTTCTATTTCTTACAACATATATATATATATATATATAAAAAGTTAAAAAAATTTCCCTTTCTCATACATATATCATGTGAAAGGAAAAAATTTTTTAATTAAATAAATTTTTAAATGCAAATGTCTGCTTATCATTATTTTTCACAGTTGCAGAGTGCTCTTTATGTGGAGATAGTTTATTCAACCAATCTCCCGTGTTTGGACATTTAGATAGATTCCAATATTTTGCAATTACAGATAATACAGATAATCCTTCAATGAATAACTTTGTGCATATGTATTTGGAGTTTATCCTTATGCATCGTGTGAGGAGTAGGTCTAATTTTTGTCTTTTTCCGACTGACTATCCAGTTGTCCTAAGTAACACTATTTATGAAAAAGACTGTCTTCATCTAAGTGATATGAGACACTATCTTTATCATATACTGTATTTTATGAGGCTGGATCTATTTCTGGATTTTTTTATTGGTATCTCAGTAAATTAAAAAATTAACTTAGGGAAAACTGACATCTTGATGATGTCGACACATTCTAACCAAGAATAAAGAATGTCTTTCCATTTGTTTAAGTCTACTTTTAAGTCTTTTCAGTTTTCTTCGTAGAGTTTTGGATCATTTTTTTAAGTTTATTCCTAAAAATTTGATCTTTTTTGTTGTTACTATAAATGGAGGTTTCTCACCCTATCTTCTAAATGGTTATTATTTGTGTATATGAATACTATTGTTTTTTATATGTTAATTTTATAACCTGCTACCTTGTTGGATTCTTTTATTGTTTGAGTTAGTTTTATCATTGATTCTCTAGGAATTATATTTTAGGTATATTAGTATGTCATTAGGAGATAGAAATAGTTTTATTTCTTCTTTTCCTATTCTTTTGCTTTTTATTGTTTTCTCTAGTCTAATTGCATCAGCTAGTACCTCAAGAACATTGTTAAGTAATAGTGGAGATAGTGAACGTTCTCCCTGACCACAGTGGGCATGTGTTAAAATTTCCTCATCTTAGGAAAATATCTATCCATTTTTATTTTCTTGTAAATTATTGTTAGGAATGACTTGAATTTTGTCAAAGGGTTTTCAGCATCTTTGAGGACAATCATTTGATTTTTCTCCATGGACCTATTAATACGACAATTTACATTAATAGATTTTATAAGATTCAACCATCTTACCATTCTTGGCATAACCCTACTTGGGCAGTCATACTCCAGAGCTTAACAACTCCTTTATTTTACAACTACTTAGTTGAGTTTCAGAGATTGAATGTGCTTACACAAGAGTGTACCAAATACTGAGTCATAGAAGTTAGTATTTTTATGAATTGCTTAATGAATGCTTTAGTAAATGAGGAATTTAGAGGAGAGAGAGATCATTATGGAGAGGAAAAAACATTTTGAAAGAGAGAGGATCACTCCCACCTGTTATATCAGGCATCAGCAACACCATACTTCTACTTTCTGTATAACTTCTTTCTACCAGCTGTTTTATCTTAGAGAGCTTACACCATAGTCTTACTGGCCTTTCAGTGTTTTATCAGCATGGTCAGTGTGGTACGTTGATTACAAACTGAAGAAATGCCAGGAAATTTCACATGATGGGGCAAATGCTCCATTGGGACAGAAAGCTGGCAAAATAGAATTGAAGCATCACTCTTACCTGCAGAAAAAAAGGACGGAATGACAAACTGATAGTTTTTACAAAGGACAGAGGGAGAGAAGCCCATGCGTTTCCATTGGGAAGATTTGGGAGCATATATTGTTTCACAGCCATGTTATATAAAACATTATTTTAAACTGTTACTGTCACATACGAAATATCTGTATCCATGTAGTTTAGGGAATTTACTGATTATTAAAGGTACTTACTTAATTTACACAAATGAAATGATTGAATTATAAAATATGACCTCCTTTTTGCAAGTTGTGACTTCAGTCCAAGGATGAATATAAGGCTGTGTTTACATGCTAAGAAACACGGCTTTGAAAAAACGCATTTGTGGAAGTTTGCACTACTGTTTATGAGAACACTTGTCAATTCAGTAGTAGATGAATTCAGAGTATATGGACTGATATTCCTAATGAATACTAAAAAACCCATGGTGAAAGAGAAATTACTTGAACAAAATTTTCTTGCCATTGAATTTCTTTTTAGATATGGTAGTAGAAGAAGTTTTCTCACCTAATTCTTTATTTTTTAAATTATTTTTTATTTTTTTACTGAAGTGCAGTCAATTACAATATGTCGTCTAATTCTTGAATGAATTTGATTGACAGCATTTTATTTTGATTAGCTTTGTGTTAAAGTAAATATGATCATTTGAAAGTTGGCTCTTCTCATTTCCTTTAGCACGTCACACCAGACAGCTACATTCCATGCCTTGCCGACCTATGCAAAGCACTGTGGGAGGTTATGCTCAGCTACTACAGGACTATGGAATGGCATGAAAAGCATGACAATGAGGATGCTACTTCTGCTTCTGGTAAGAAATTATTTTGATTTTATTTTAAAAACTAAACTATAAATATGCCATATTTATGGAGTAAGGAGAAAGAAAAGGGACAGCCATGCTTTTAGAATTTCGGGGACCATAGTGACCATTGGTTAAGTGTTCACCAGAGAAAGTGATTCAGCTGCTATACAAGCTCTATTACCTTTGGGAATTAACTGGACTGAAGGACATATGTGACAGGTATTACCAGTTTCCAGCAATATGTGGTGATGGCCTCAGGGCTAAATTTTTAAGAAAGAGCTTTCTTAAAAAAAAATCAGCTTTAAACTAAGTAAGACATTGATCTATTCAAGTTTACTGTAAAATTAATGCTGATGTTCAATATTAATTCCATTTTGCTAATTTTCAAGTTACTCTAATAAAGCTAGATTCTAAGAATTAATAATTACACTGATACTTCCTGAAATTAGACAGGACTTAAAATTTCATGAAAAATAATGTTTTTAAATACTCATCTTTGAAACCAAGATACAACTTTAAATGATGATGGTATAGACAGGCAGATAACAAATCTTTGAGAAATTGTACTAACTGGGCCTTATGTTTAAGTTATTTCATTCATATAATTATATATCTTAAGTGGTTATCCTTGAACAGTAGCTAAGATTAAGTATTCAAAATACTTTTTAAAGTAATAAATGATTCTGCCAGTATTTAGTAGGGATGAAATAAATTACACTGTACATGTCTTTTTTCCTGTTACATACAGTTTAATGTAGCTAGTCAATCAAGTTATTTTGAAAACCTCTAATTTCTGAGGTGTTTGATTTCTCTGGTTGGATGGATGGAGGAACGCTTATATCTCACTGTTTGAAGACATGTTTAATATTTATCTTGACTCATAAGATGGTCATAAATATAGATATCAAAAAACAAGAAAGATAAATTCTATGGAAGGATTTTCATTCTTTCAGAAACGTTGTTGGGGGAGGGAGGCCTTAAAGGAAGGGAGAGAAAGAGGAGAAAGCAGAGAAAAGGGGTAGGTACTGAGCCAGGATTCTCAGCCAGACTATTTTTACTGGACTCCTCTACTACCTCTGGGAATATGGGCTTTGCAATCAGAGATACCTGGCCTCAAATTTTGACTACCATTTACCTTTGTGAGAACATGAAGTTAACTATATCTTCTCCAGGCCTCAATTTGCTTCTTGAAATGGTAGGTTAAAAAAACAAAACAAAATAAAAAGTTCCATAGGGGTAACACATCTACCTGTAGGATTGCTGTAAAGTTTAAGAAAAAAATGTAAAAAGGGCTTACCCTGCTTGTGGTTAATATCATCAAAGGAAATGGATCAAGAGAGTAATTATAATAATAATGAAATGTCTATAGGCCTTTTCTTTTTTTTAAATTTCAGATTAGTTAGGAAATTTCTGGGTTTAAGGGATTCCAATTTTCCACAAAGTTTACCTTGTTTTGGCAGCCTTTATTTTTTTCTAGCTATGGAAACTTTAGATGTTTTAGTATCTCTTTTTCCTTTTCTAGTGCATTATTTAAGGAGAAACAAAAGGAAAAGTTTGGAACAAAATTAACACATACTTTAGGTATAAGAGTTTAGAAGACAGTTTATATTCATCATGATGAAGCTTGCTTTTTGCTTTAGGCTAATAGCTTATATGTGTGTATATATGTTTATATATACGTATTTTCATTGGGGTATAGATTCAAACTTAAAACTCTATTTGAGCCTTCTATGCTGAGTCCTCTTTGCAAAATTTCCTTCTCTCTAGTCTGTGTATTTTAGGGATATTAAGGACTCTGATTAGTATAGCAGTCAGTTGATAATATCTAGGACTGTAAAAAATCATTTGTTCACCTGAGATTATTCATTTCATTTTCACATTAAGAACTGAAATAGTAGGAATCAATAATTTGAAAATTATTCTTCATAGAACTTCATAAAGCTGGAAAGTATGCTAGAGATCTGCTATAGCTCTCTAGTGATACTCCTGGTACCCTAACACTTTCTCATTCTACAAAAAACTAAAGCTGTAGTTCAGGTGCACTGCTCTGAGTTGCTGGGTGCCTAATAGCCAGACATCCAGATGATACGGCTTAAGCTGTGAGAGTTGTCAGAGGTACAGAGGCGTGTATCTGGGGCCTGGCCTATGCAAGGGCCTTTTGCTGGTTACCAGTGGACACCCTGCTAGCCTAAGATGGGATAATAGTCTCAGTTGTTCTGCACAGTTTATTTGCACAAAGGCATGATCTTTTTAACATAATGTATATGTGTATTTTCAATTGCTTTTGGGAGAGATTTGTTTTAAGGCAGGTCATTGATCTCACCTGCTGAGCTGGACATTGTTAGATTTACCTGGGATGGATAAAATTATTCTGGATCATGGAAAATATAAAATGTAGATATCATTACCTCACTGCCTGAGCAGTTTTGCACCCTGAACTCTTGTTAACGTGCATATGAATTGATAATTGAGATAATTGGTCCTGTGATGCCCTGGCAGTAGGCAGTATATGGGTCATTGAAAACCTGGTCTCTAGGATCACACTATCCAAATTGAAATCCCAACTCCAATCACATATGAACTGAGTGGTCTTCGGTGTAAGGTGCTTAACATTTCAGAGTCTGAGTTTACTCATCTTATCAAATGGGTTTAATCCTTATTTCTATTTTTTGTCATCGTTTTGGTTGTATAAATATTGAGAATATTTTCTAAATATTACATATGCTTACAATATATGAGAGTCCAAATGTGTTTTTTTTTTTTTGAAAACAAAAACATTATGAAGCAAATTTGAAAACCTGTACCATTGTTTTATTTTCAGAAGGGAGTAATATGATGGGTACTGAAGAAGCAAATTTTGATCGTGGCTACATAAAAAAGAAATTAGAACATGGACTTACACGAATATGGCAGGTTTGGTTTTTTTAATTATTTTTTTACAAAGGCAATAGAAACCATGTCAAAGTTGTTTTAGAAATTCAGTTTTTAAATTTTCTGTATTCATTTGTATTCCTTGCAAATCTAATCATATGTTAGTTTTTCTTTGGAGTAAGTCTATCATCTGAGTTCTGTACTTTAATTGATAATTGTACTTGACTGTAAGTGGCAGGAGAAAAAGTATTTTAATTTGAAAATCTTTTGTTTTAATTTGAAAATATTCTTTGGTTATATTTTGCTTTTAGTGTTGGCAGATTTGTGCTTTCCTAAAGAAGTTGTTTTCTTACTGAGATACTCTTTATTCTTTGTGTGTTTTCTTTCATTTTCTATTAATTTTAGGAAAAGGACAACTATATATTAGGTAACATGCATGGATTAGAGTCTAGAATAGAATAAGTAATTGTTTTCTAAGCCAATGATTTTTGTGCCTTGAGTGAATTTTTCATGTTTATTGGCTGAATGTGTTTTCCTAAGCTTTACTTTTGCAGTTTAGTAGCTCAGTTGTTGTTACCAGATAATTAAATTTATTGTTAAAAATTTTTTTATCCTAGTTAGAGGTGTAATTTTTTTGACAATAACTATGTTTTGTTCTTTTGGACTTTTTTGAGATTTAGAAGACTATAGACCCTTTGACCGTATGATGGTCTCTTAAAGTGTATTTTTGATGTTTCTAATGAGGCTGATTTTTGACAATCTATTATAGGATTTCTTCTGAAAAAAATTGTTTTGGAAAATATATGCTGAAAACAAATTTCCTCAAGAATCACATAGCAGTTATAATTTAATGCACTTCTAACTTCTGGTAACCTTATATTGGATATGCTATTTGAATTTATACTTTAGTATATAAATATGTTTATGTGATAGTTGTAAGACCTTCATCTTTTGTATTCTCTTATGACTGTATTAAACTAATTTTTAGTTTACCATTAATTATGGGTTTGGGCTGACTTTTATCTCATTGTTTTGTATTGTGGGTTTGGGCTGACTTTTTTCTGAATGTTATGTATAACAGGGAAATCTCATCCTCATTGAATATACATCTATGGCCAAATATGAGTTGTCCCCAATTTAGTCTCCTAATAGAGTCTCATTGTACTTAGTTGAAATTGTGGAATCCATGGTAGAATTTCTGGTAATTCAGTGTACTTTGAAATACTGCCCTGGCACTTTATATAGCTAGTTTCTATTCAGTCTGGCAACCGGATGTCATTCCTGATACAGGAAAATCTGTTAAATGTAAGATTTAGTAAACCTATTCTCACTTAAGCATTTGGCCAGTTTAATGGAAGTCATCATGCTTTTGAGTATAGATAATTGTGTTGTAGGTTTCAAGTCTTAGAATATCTTCATCTCCACCACTTCCAAGTTCCTTTTGCACCTCCAACTCCAATTCTCAACCAGTTCTAAAACAGGACTTTGTATACTTGAGGAACTCACTGAGTGTTAAATTGAAATTACAAGGCTTAATGCAATTGAAAAAGGCAAAAACTCTGAAAAATAAATTTTTTTAACACATTTAGCAGACAAAACCTGACCAGAATTGAATTCATTTGGTAGCAGAACCTGACCAGTATTGTCATTTGGCTTTTTACAGTGTTTATTTATCCCATTAAAGTTATTCCATTAAAGTGAACATTTATTCACTACAGAAATATTAATGTGTTTTATTTTGGGATATCCTAGACCTGACTAGGGCATTACATATATTATGCTATAACATCTGAAATGCCAAATTCTGAAGCACAAATAAGTATGTGACAGTTTGTAGACATTTATCATAAATTTATTATAGAGATAATGACAAATGATGATTGAAAAGCATAAGAAGATATTTAACATTTTTGACATACAACTAAACTGAGAATCGTAATCATCTTGATTTTTGATATGAAAAATTTTTAGAATATTGTGGCAATTTTCCATGTGTTTTGAGTCAGAACCTTTAAGGAAAAATACTGATCAATCATAATACATGTATCACACTGTGGATTTAAGGACACAGTGGTGAGGCCATGGTCTTTGACCTCATGGAGCTTACACATCTAACTGTATGAAAGTCTTGGTCTTCTAAGATTTTTTTTTCATCTCTAAATATTAGATATGTGAAAAATGACAGTTTAAAAGTGCTTATTACTGATTTCTTTTTTAGTATAGAAAATTTGAGTTGCAGTGTTTCTACTTTTTGTGAATTTGAGATTTTTTTACAACCTAGTATGCCACCTGCTTTAAAAATTCTTCCCTGGGCATCTGAAAAATAATTACATATTTCCTCTTTGTGTTGGGAATTAGATTCTATATGTATATTAAAGCAAGCTTATTATTTATATGTACTGGTCTCTTCTATATCATTATTTGGTTTGGTTTTTTGGTCTGTGAAATTCTGAGGGAAGAGTGTTAATCTTCCACAACAATTGTTTTCAGATTTTTCTTTTATTTGTAACAGCTTTTGCTTTTTATAGTTGGATGCTATGTTGGTTGATGCTGCAATGCTAATAACTACTTTACTTACCTTCTTTGTACATAATTCTTTATTAATTAAAAAAAATAGCTCTTTTCTCCTGAGGCATTTTGTCATGAGTTTTAGTTTGCTTTATTATTACCATTGTTGTATTTATTTTGTTCATATTTTCCTACTAAATCCTTGACCATTCCTTTATTTAAAATGTTTTTATATTTTGTTTTAGTTATGTCTCCTATAAATGTAAAACAAAAATTTTTTTCAAGAGAGACTTTGTCTTTTAATAGGAGAGTTGAATCTGCTTGTATTTTTATTAGTGTGTTAAATATACTTCAATTATTAGAGAAGTTGAACATTTAAAAATCTATTAATTATTGATTTGTGAATTATTTGCTCATGGGTTCTAAGTGATTCATGTGATAATGAATAATCCTTTGTATAACCTTTGGCTCTTTTCGCTTATTTTATATTTTTGATATGCAGATGGTTAACACTTTTATGAGGTCAAACTATTGACCTTTGTCCTTTGTGACATGTTCCATTTATTCTTAAAATGTTCTTTTCTATGTAAAGCTCTACTGCCTAGAACATTTAATAAGTACTCAGAAAATATTTTTGCTTTACTGAATTAATTTTTAATCTTTTGAGAGTAATAAAAACATTTATTTAATCTGTTTTATATTTCTTTTGATATATGATGTAAAGAGAGGATTCTGCCCCTGCCTCCTCTCAGTTCTAGTCAGTTTTCCCTTCATTGCTTTTTGGATAATCTTTTTTCTTTTCTCTTTATTTGTAACACCTCCTTGTTACAAAAGAGGAGATTCTGAAGGCAGACAGACCTAGATTCAAGTCTCAGTTTTGTCATTGACTGGACATGTGAATTTAGGCAATCACTTGATCTCTTCAGTTTTTCTTCTTCAAGGAGGATAATAAAGCCTGGTCAACAGTGCTGTTTTCAGATTAAAGATTATATGTTAAGTTCTGAGTATAATGCTTGACAAAAAGTAAATAATCAGAAAATAATAGTTTTTACTGCTGTTTATTAAGTTCTTATATATATTAGCACTTTTCTGATTTACTTCTCCTAGTCCATTGATTTTTTTCTCTATATTGCTAGCATTTTTAATGGTTTTTAATATATTTAAAACAAATGGTACAAGTCCTCTAGTGTCATTCATAACTTTTACTTCATCTTTCCAAAGCACTATTTTTTAAAAAGTGGCTACTGCCTGTTTATTATTTCTGGTGAATTTTAGAATAATTGTTTAGAGGAAAAGTTTTGTGTGTGTGTATGTGATTTTTGATTAGAGTTTCATTGTATCTCTATGATAATTTGGAAAAATTGACAGTTTTAAACAATATTTAGTCACCTTTTCAGTCCCTTGACTCTCAATTTATGGAAATTTCTTTTGTATCCTGTTAACAGTTGTTAGTTTTTTCTTTTAGGTCTGATGGTTCTTATTCAAGTTATTCCTAAATATATTGTATTTTTAATATTTGTTTTAAATAGAATCTCTCCACTTTAAGGTGCTATAACATGTACACATGAAAACTTAACTTTTATGAATTTTAATTTTATTTTTTAATGAAATGTAGTTGATTTACAATGTTAGTTTCAGGTTACAGCAAAGTGATTCAGTTATACGTATAGATACATATATGTTTAGATTATTTTCCATTATAGCTTGTTACAAGAAATTGAATATAGTTCCCTGTGCTATACGATAGATACTTGTTGTTTTATCTATTTTGTGTATTGTAGTATGTGTCTGTTAATCCCAAACTCCTAATTTATTCCTTCCCCAAACTTTCCCCTTTGGCAATCATAGTTTGTTTTATATGTTGGTGGGTCTATTTCTGGTTTGTAAATTAAATTTGTATCCTTTTTTAGATTCCATGAAAACTATTAATTTTTATGTATTATATATACACACTTCACATAGTTACCTTATTAATTCCAATTTTTTTTGAATTGATTATTTGGGGTTTCTAGCCTACCAACCCATGTACAAATAATGATGATTTTTATCTGCATATGAAGATATAATTCTTATCTAGCATACGTGTGTGTATCAATAGTGATGACTGTGGCCAGTACTATTTTTTTATCTGATGTTAATGAAATTGTCTTAATGATACCATGCTAAGATTGTTGGCTCTTGGCCTAAATAGAAATTCTTTATCGGTTAAGAATATATTCTTGTCTCATTTTAATGTGTAACTATAGAAGAAGATGGTTCTGAGAACTTACTTTCTATATTTTAGGTTTACTTGAAAAATTTTTGTTTTGTTTTGATTTACAGGATGTTCAGCTAAAAGTAAAAACCTACTTGCTTGGAACTGATTTATCTATCTTCAAATATGATGATTTCATCTTTGTTTTGGATATAATCAGCAGGTAGTGTTTGAGATCTTGTCTTATTCTTTAGTTTGGTTCACTGAACCATGATAATCATTGAAATCATGAATCAGTGAGTTATAATTTATAACTTCATGGAAATGAAGATAACTGAACATTCGTAGTCTAATTTCTGCTGGGTTTATGTGTGACTGTGTTTAAATATTTCTACTTTTTGGATGTTTGTAAATCATAATGAATTTATCATCTTTGAAGAAAGATGACCTAGACTTCTTTTTTTTTCTTTCTATAATTAAGATGTTGCTGAGATTTTTATAAATTTTTATAAATTTTTCCAACTAGGTTGATGCAAGTTGGAGAAGAATTTTGTGGTAGCAAATCTGAAGTTTTGCAAGAGTCTATTAGAAAACAAAGTGTCAATTATTTTAAGAACTACCATAGGTAAGAACTCTAATGAAATATGAATAGACTTATTTATGTATAAATAACCTCATAGTATGAATTGGTTTAAAATAATTACTATTAAACTTGCAAGACTTTGTTCTTTGTAGCTGTTTTTAGGATGCTTAAGGATGTTTTTTAACCAAAAAGATCAAAATATTCTCATTATTTATTCATTGTAAATTTCAACGTATGCTTTGTCTTGAGGGGATTAAAATACGAACTAAATATTGAATTGGTTTCTTTATGAATGAAAGATGACTCAGGGTTCCTGAGAAGAATTTGGCCACTGTTCTGTGCCTGCATATATGGTGAGAGTTAGTAAGGAAATTGAATGAGTAGAGGCAGTACTCAGTGAGGGAATATTTGAAAGTATCTGCCTTTTAGGGGTAAAAAGACTTCCAGAGAAGAGGGCATGATGTTTAGAATGTAGCCACAAGGCTAAGATTATGTGTTACATTGCTTTGCAGAACAATCAGCACTAACTTGAAAAGGGTGTCTAAGAATGGTTTTGGGAATAGAGAAAAGTGGGAAAGAATGTTTACATAGCAATGTGTTTCTATGCTTAAAGCAGCATTAAATTGACAGAGCAAGCATTTATTTGACCTTTCTTGTTATATGCTGTACCCTGTGCTGTATCCCTTTTATACATTTTATCACTTGTATTGAATTATATCTCACTTTTTATTCTGCTTTTTTACTTTTTAAAATTAAGTTTTGATTTGATTGTTATTTGGTGCCTGGGAGAGTCGGGATTTGAGATTCTCCTTTCTCTCCTTGTATGGAGTTAACACCTGGTCACAGTGATAAAGGCCATGTCAGAAGAGAGATTGCTGGACATGAAGACACTGATTAATTTATTGTTAAATATATTTAAGTTCACTGTTTCTGTCTTAACTGCAAACTTTAAGTACTTATTTTGAAAGAGTGTTTAAATTGATTCTGTACCAAAGTAGAGCTTTTAGGTTTTACAATTGTTAAACCTCAGGAAAACAGTGGTAAGGGAACAACATGAAACCCTAATACCGCTTTATTTATAACTCCCTTTTCTGTTAAAACTTAGCCCTGCTAAAACAGAAGACCTGGCCTGTACACACTGCAGTACAAAATGAGGGGGGCCCTTTAATCACAGGTGGGAAAGGGTGAAGAACAATTTAGGAGCCGGAAGCCTCACCTGCCGTGTCACAATGAAGACATGCCAGATGTCCATTTCCCAAAGATAGCTTTCTTTTTTCTCCTCTCTTCTCCTGTTCTCTCGTGTCCTCTCCTCTCCTCTTCTCTCTTCTTTTCTCCTCTTCTCTCTTCTTTTCTCTTTTTTTTTTTTTTTTCCCTAAGGATTGCTTTCTGTCCAATACAATACCTGGAAGGTCTTTTCATGTTGTGACTGCAAGATGCATGCAATGCAAAAACATGGATTTATTTAATGGCCTCTGTTCTGCATTCCATTTTAATTATTGTCAAAAGATGTCTGTCATCTGTGGCAACGAGGCATGCACATTTCTAGACTGTGACTATGATGGAGAGTCTTCACAAAAGTTCACTTTGATGAAATTGGAGAATATAGAAGTGAATTATTAAATATTTCCAAAACATTCAACATTGTAAAAGTCAACATGGACTTCTCTTAGAAACAGTTGGAAACTTATCCAATTGAAGAGGCTGTACAGTACTGTCAGAAGGAGAGCAGGACTGGGAGATGGTAGACTGGGACTTTTATCCCCTTTTTCCTGCTTGCCACCTCTCTAACATTGGACAAATCACTTAACTTCTCTGGGCTGTGATTCTAGAAATCATAAAATGACATGGCTGAACTAGAAGGTCTACTTATGTATTACCTACAGATCTTTCCCTTTTTTTCTTGCTGCATTTTGCATTATAAAAATTAGAATAGGTTAAAAAAGTAAAGATTTGATTTTTTAAAAGTATTCTTCTCCTTACCCGATGTTTGAACTAATCTAGCTTATATGCTGGTTGTACTCATTATCTCTCCTATAGCTGCCATTTGGAAAATTATAATGGAAGTCACTTGGTGAAGTTCATGACAACCATCAGTGTGTTCTGAAGTGTATCTATTTTTTTTATAAAGCAAGATAAACTTGACAGGCAGTTTAGAAATGACACCAGTGTACACATCTTGAATTGATGAAAGTCATTACATTAACCAGTGATGAACCTAAATCTACTAAATTCCAATTTAATATCTCCTTCACTAAATCATACTACATAGATAGTAAAAATGCTATGAAATGTGGTGAAATATAAATCAAGTCTGTCGTAATTCTGTTAAACTGTTTAAATACATTTATAACTTGTTTCATGGTCCTCTACTGCCAAATAGAGCTCTTGAGAAAAAAAAATTCTTGAACTAAATTATTCTGACTTGCAGTCCATTTTGGCTGTTGGTTTGAAGATATAGGCATAATAAAAAGGTGAAAATAGAAGAATTTTACTCTTTGGCAGAATGTCTATTTATAAAATGTACCCCTGTTGCCTGTGGAAGTTGTATTAAAGCTTGCATGCCGTTACCTTTTTCTAGGGCAAAGTTATATGAGTGTGTGAGGGAGCACATTCTCTATCGTCTGTCAGTATTAATTGTCAGCCTTCAAAAGTATGTTTTATTCCCCAGATTTATGTTCAGGTTCTAAGTTTGTATACATTCAAAGCTGTCATTCTTCTGCCAGATGTTGCAGAATTCCCAAAAGCACATGTAGTCTAATTCAAACATAGAAATTATGCAGCAGTCTACAATTAACAAAACATTCTGTTTAACTCATTTTATTTTTGATGACTTTAATAATCAAAGCTTATAAAATGTTTTCACTGATCCTAAAGGTGCATTGACTGATGCTAGAAGAGCGGAAAGTTCACCTATCCTTTTAGGGAGAAAAACTCTCTCCTTGCTTGAGTAAAAAAAAGTTTTATTTCCTCAGTACCTTTAAAATGTGTGTTTCTAGGATCAGTTTTATTGTCCATATACTTATTTTTGTTTTCTGTCTGGATCAAGTGATTTGATCATCTCTTCTTTTTTGAATATTGGTCCTGATGTCGTCTAGAACTGACCTGCTTGTGTGTGTCACGGCAACCCCCTCCCCAACCCACACACACACCCCAGCCCATATATCCTCTGTGAAACAAACTGTTTTCGTTAAGGCTTCAGAGAGTGTAGTAAATAAGTTATAAATAATTTAAGTTGTTTTATAAGAGATCTCAGAAGATTTTTTTTTTAAGGAGAAACCTAACCAATATAATGGCTTTGATTTGCAAGTGTCCAAGCATGTGTTTTCCTAGTATTGTTTTATTACATACCATTTTGAGATGTACAGGCTTAAAACAGCCACCATCTTACCATTATTTCATGTATTCTGTGAGTCAGGAATAATTTAGGCAGAGATCAGCTGATTCTTCTGCTTCTTGTAGCACTGACTGAGGTGACCAGTCAGTTCACAGCTCGTGGTAAGCTTTGTGTAGAGGATCCAGGATGGCTTCACTTGGACCTTGGTGGAGGTGGCTGGAAGGATGTACACAGTGCTTGCATGTGGCCTTGCCAGTGTGGTGACCTCAGGGTGGTTGGATTTCTTACATGGTGGCTGGCTTTCCACAGAACTAGTGTTCGAAGAGAACCTCGCAGAGGCTGTATTACCCCTTCTGGCATAGGCTTAGGAGTCATGCAGTCCTTCCACCATGTTCCATTGAATGCAGGCGTGTCATAAGACTGGTCCAGATTCAAGAGGACAGAAACTAGACTTTCTCTTTGATTGGGGAGTGGTAGTTAAGTTCAGGTCGTAGAAGAGCATGTGTGTGAGGTAGGAGCTATTGCAGCTCTTTGTTATATTCCTTGGGAGAAATGTTTTTAGAAAACAAGTTTTTTTGGACTTAGTAATAATGGTGCCAATAAATTTGTTAAATTTATTTTTAATACGTAAAATATTTTACAGAAAATTAAACTACGTAAAAGTAAAACTTTCCCACCTCTGAACTGTACAGGAGGGCTTAAATTTTGGAGTTAAAATGAGAACAAAAGAAACAGTGTCTTCATAGTATACATCTTTTATGTTAGGCTATTCTCTTTATTCTGTGTGTATACATACACATACAAGATACACGATAATAGTGGGTAGACAGCTGTTAAATTCCTTAGTAAATATCATTGTTAACTGATTTCCAGTTTACTTCCTGCTGGTACAAAGAGTTTGGGGCAGTGTGGTGTCATCAGTGGCACTGGGTTGCCACCATTACTGTTACTCACTAGCTTACTATCTGTATGATTTTAACCAAATTTATTTTACTTCTCTGAGCTTCAAGTTCCTTCTCTTAAAAATGTGAAAGGCATATGGGATAATATACCCTCTTTAAACTCTGCTTTTATCATTTGTTTTGGAACCTATCTTTTATTGCTTGAAGTCTTTTATTAGATTAAGTAAAAAATCTGTTTCACGTAGTTCTAATTTATTGATATTTTTCCTTTAACTTGTAGGTCAACATATTTGAGACACCTTGTAGACCAGTGATTAATTTCTTCACTATATGTACTCTTTAAAATCTCTTCAATTTTATTTTAATTATACTTGTTCTTTTGTTTACCAAAGAAGGTTCTTTGTATCCTGCTTGTATCTTGTTTCTTAAAGACACAGGTGGCACCCGAAGTGCTTAAAAAGTAATAATCAAGATTGCTTTTCACATAACTTCATGATTGTAGTCAGTTCAGTTATTCAGCATCTGATTATAGTTTGTACTTTACATACTCATTGCTTTTTCATAATAACTGCTATCCTTTTGGTTTATTAGTAGAGTAAAATAGAAGAAAGGAAATAAAATGCAAATCTTTTAATTTGTGTCAAATGTTCTTAAAGAGATGCAAAGGAAGTTTTCCTTGACTCTAATGAATCAGTTTGGATATTAACCAACTTATCATTTACAGGAATCAGGGCTCTGTCTCTGCTATCTTCGAGTTGTGACCTTGTGACACTTCACAAGTCTTTTAATGTTTCCTTGGGCTTCTG